ACCTCTTTTCTAGAGGAAAAAAAAAATGTTGAGATTGTTTATCAGCTTAGTTTCTTTGAAATGATCCAGTTTAAAGAATGTTAAGTTGTTACTTTAAAAGTCAAGGTCCATAGTGAAATGTGGGTGGATAGTTCAATCAGTTGATCTGTAAGCTCCTCCTTAATGCTTGGGAGCCTGTGATTCTAATGCAGCACATGTATCACGCCTGGAGAATATTGTTTGGTTTCTATATCTAAAGGTATAGAGAAGGCAACAGATGTCGCTCAAAGGTAGGACGTACTTGTCTAGCATGCATAGGACACTTGGATCGAATCCTCAGAACTGCAGTGGGGTTAGAGGAAGGCATAGAAAATGCTGGAGAACGTAGTGACAGCCTCTCATAGTGGGTGGTTTTCTTTGTGTGTGCCCCTAAAGCGAACATCTAGAGTCGTATTTATGGGAGAATTTTGCATTCATGTTCAATTTTCCCAGTTGGAAAGCTACTTGCTGCCAGTTCAGTGAATTAGCCATTCTAACAATACCTGGTACTTTAATGGCTTTTATCTTTTTAAAGTTATTTTGTATCAAGATTGTCTAGCTTATTTACTTAACTCTCCTGTTTTTACTCACCATCTGACTGAATGACTTTTCTCTTCCCCACCCCCATCATATTTCAGAGTCATCCACCTTCAGGCAAGAACTTAGATAGAAACTGACTGCTCAAACACACTCAGGAACCCTCTATGCTAAGGCTATCACCAGCATGCTGCTAAACTCTTCAGACTCAAGACTTTCCAAGTGCAAGGCTCAAGACAGTATACTCAAAGAAAGTCCTATGGCAAAACGAAGGACAAATTTCAGTGGAAGAGTTAGAAGAAATGTTAAATTAAAAATACCAAAAAAAAAAAAAAAGTTGTGGATTATGGCATTTAGGTTACCAGCCAAAGAACCAGATAATAAAACGAGTTAATACTCTAATTTTGCTACTGTTATGAATCTTAACGTAAATCTCTAACATACAACACCAAAGGGGTTGAGACCCACAGGTTGAGAACCACCACTTTAAGGGCCTCATGCCAGGGATCAAAACCTTGCCAGCAGCTTGTAATCTCCCAGTTGCTCTTTAAATGAGGTAGTATGAATCCTTCCAGTAATATATTTAAAAATATTAAGAAACCCTGCATTGCACATAGGCTTTTCTCTTCCTTTCCAGAGAGCAGGCCTCAGTGGAGAGCTGTGATGATTATTAATATGGCCAAAAGTCTCTTCTCTAAAAAATAGTAAATACATGCTTGTCTCAAAAAAAAAAAAAAAAAAGCCGAGTTACAATCTATTTGGTATAACAGCTCATCAGTAATGTCGTTTTAGATTGGGATCATGGCAGTGGGGCGGGGGTGGGGGGAGGCAGGACATGCAATGCAAGCAGGTACAGACACAGTGTTTTCTGTGATGCCTTTGCCTGACCTCTATGACAGCTCTATGGAGGCGGTGGCGGCCACAGATACTGCACTAACTTAGAGCCGCTGCCCTGCCCTGCCCTGGCCCGGCCTGGACCTGTGTTTGCTCTGTGCCAGGGAAGAGAACTGGCTAAGTGGGTGGGAGTGGAGTTCAGCGCTAGAGGACAAGCACAGTTGTGTGAGGCCCAACCCTTCAAGAAAAGAAGGAGAAAGAAGTGGCCAAGAAAACGCACCGCTTTCCAGTCAGGACAGACTGTTTGACAGAGAGGGCAGTCGAGTCAGAACCACACTCTTTTCATGGAGTACACGTTATCAAGAGACCAACCCCACCAAAGAGTAAGGTCACACGCAACATAAAGAAATGTTAGTGGACAATAGAAAAAGGGTTTTTTCCTCACCTTTGGCTTAAAAAGTGCTCAGTGAGGCAGCAATAAAATATTTCCCCCCTTTACCGCAACAGAAATGGAAAACAGTGATAATGCTGAGGGTGGGTAGAGTGTAGATCTCTTATATATCGCTGGGGAGACAGTAAACTGGCATGTGCTTACTATGGGCAATACTGCAATCTTCAATAGCCTAAAAAGTGAATCAATTCTGCTATGTCTCCAGAAACGTATTCCAAGGAAATAATCGGATAAGATTGCAATTCACTGGAGCTTGGCATATAGAGTTCTTAACTTTTCACCTATGAATTTTCTATTTTTCCTACGTAAGTTTTTGGAGAAGTCTTTTGGTTCTAAAATTAAAGAAGCAGAACACACTTATTTTCCTCTATAATGATTGTGTTTTCCCTCCTGGCAGGCTGGGCCAAGCCCTGACTTTAATGATGCCTCTGGTACTCCCTGAGCAAACAGAACCTAAGCAGGTCTTCAGCTGGTCCTGTTTGTTACTCTGCTGCTACTGTCAAATTTCAAAGAAATTTGATCTTGTGGGCCCTTATCTTTATAAAACGTTTGGACAGTGTGTTGAGCACTTTAGAAAAATTTCTGTTCTTCCTTTCAGGGACCCACCAGTAAGATCTAGAAATCGCGGGAAAAGTTCTCCATACTGTTTCTCTTGAGTTAACAGTCTCTCAGAGAACTTTTAAGTTAGTAAAGGACAAACCAGACTTGCGCAGGGCCCAGAACTTAAAAGGCATGAAGGAGGGCTGGGGTGTATGTGGCTCAGAACAGCGCACTTGCTTAGCATGCAGCGGCCCCATCCGCAGCAAGGGCGTTGGGCAGGTGCGTAGGTCACAGGCGGGCCCCATAGAAGCCTCCTCCTCCCCTGAGTTGGAGTCGGGGAGGCCCGGAAAATCGCATCTCCTAGAAGAAGATCTAAGGTAGGAATCCACAGGAACATTTGGCAATGGCGAACAAGGCTGGCCAGAGGCACCGGTCCCAACAGGTGCACACAATCAAACCTGCTCTAGCTGACCCTCCGGAAACCGTTCCATTCTGGTTCCCGCCGGTTTGGGAGTTAACTTTGCTCTTGCCAAGATTTTTCTTTTTCTCTTTCTTTCTTTCTTTTTTTTAACTTTCTTTTTATTTATTCTTTGTGTCTTTCACATCATGCATCTCGATCCCATTCATCTCCCTGTCCCTTCAAGACTTATTAATAAATAACCCACACTCGTTAACAGCACTACGTGTAAGCGCCCAATTTATTCCGGGAAACCCGACCTCCTATAGTCGTAACAGGCGCCCCCCTCTGGAGAACCGGGGCCTACCCCAAACCACCTGCTCTCAGTGCTCCGGGCCGCATCTGCCACCAGTACTGTGTAGTCGGGGCCTGCTTTTTCTACATTGCTGGGAGAAATTTGGGACTTAAACTTGGAGCCTTAGATAAAGTCAAAAGTCCACGAACATTTCACAGCTAGTCACGACACCACTATTTCCAGGCAGTCTTTAGCCTTCCCAGGTCATCTCAGTCTCCACTCATCCCTGCCCCTCGGCCCTTGAGAATCTGCCACCCCTGGGCTTTCCGTCCAGATGAGGTGCCAGCCCGCGCCCATCGCCCGGGTTGTGGGCCATCCACACGCGCTTAGCTAGCCACTGGAAGTCCTTCGGACCCTCTCGCAGATCTCCTGGCTTTCGAGAACTTCGCGGCCACTCTCTCGACCCGACACCCGTCTCGGATTCGCTGGGGATAAGATCTAAGAAATGCGCCCTGGGCCACAAGCAGCCTGGGAGGCGGGGTTAGGAACAACTTTCCCTCCGCCCTCTAACCGCAAAGCCCGGGTGGGGCGGCCTAGCCTTGTCCCGATCCCCCTCCTTCCCCGGCGGGGATCCCTGACCCGAGTTCGCGCCAAGGCCGGCGTGGAAGGCCCGCGAGCGGCGAAAGGGGCTTTCCTCTCCGCCGCAGCCCCACCAGATGTTAGAGGCGTAACAATAGTAGAACCGCAGAGAAACAAAAGGCCATTCACCCGCTGGATGAGAATGGCTCTGTCGCCCTGTCTCAGCCGGGAAGACTTACAGAGGGGTCTGAAGGGGGGTTGGGAGGGATCCTGAGTGGTCTGGAGCCTCTGCCACGCTCCAGGAGGCGGGGAGCCGTTCTTTACCACTAACCACCCAACCCTGGGGGGTCCAGTGGCGGGGAGGAGAAACCAAAGGAAAGTTTTAGTTTTCACCTTCTCTGGTGCAGGAAAGGGAGGGGCTGCGATTCCAGATGTTTGACAGTTGTTGGCCCAAAAGTTGAGCAAGATTTATTTGTTCTTAAGACCCTCCCTTCATGAGGCATCAGTAGCCTGGGGACAACCCGAACGGTGAGCTGTAGCCCCACGCAGTCCCCACGCTGGGTTCCAGGAGCCCGGGCGCGTCCCCCTGCACAGATGCACTTTCGTAAAAGTTTCTCTTCCCGCCGCCGCAGGCCAACGCGCACCCTACCCGCATCTGCGATTCAGAAAGGGTTCGGGGCGAGATTTGCACCCTGAAAGGGGCTGGGGTGGGTGTTTCAAATCAAAGCCAAGGATCCCTGGGTGGGAACTGGACTCACGTTCCAGCCCGGGAAGTGCGTACCCGGAGGCATAGAGAAGCCTAGGAGCCCGCACCGGTCTAAACCAGACTCTAACCCCGGAAGCTCGCGGAGGAGGGAATTAGGACCCGCGTCCGCGCGGTTGATCCGCTCCAGGTGTGCCCCGCACCTCGGCCCTCCTGGGCACAATCCGGAGCTGGAAGCTGCGGGACTGCGCCTCCTCCCCGCTCTCGGAAGGGTTACTTACCGTGGGGTTTTAACCTTCAGCCTAGGGCCCTGCTGTCGTCCTCCGCGCGGGCAGCTGCGGCTGGAGCGGTAGAAAAGGAGTGAGCTCCTCCAGCCGGAGCAGCGACGCTTGGCAGATCCACGCGAGGGGCTTCCTGGCCAGCACGCGCGACTCCAGACGCAGCCGCCGCGGCTCTGATGCGGCCCCCACATGCACCGAGCGCGCCGCGCAGCCCGCCCGGGCGCCACTGCAATTCATCGGCTCAGAGCGGAGTCCCCTGGCGGCCTCCTCTGGAAAGGCAGCTTCGTGGGGGCAAGAGGAGTCTTGTTGCCTTTAGGATCCTCTAATCTCCACAAGGGCCTGAGACAATGTGCAGTCTAAGAAGTTTCTCTCCTTTGATCCGCTGGCCAGCGTAGCTAAAAAAAATGCCAGACCAGAAAGACTGCGGTCCCTGTTGAGCTTTGTGAACTTCACACAAATCTAGGAAGAGGGAATCTTAATTGAGGAAATACCTCCATAGATAGACTATTGGTAAGTCTGTCCGGCATTTTTCTTGATTAATGATTGGCGTAGGAGGGCCTAGCCCACTGTGGGTGGTGCCAATTTGGGGCAGGTAGTCCTAGGGTGTATAAGAGAGAAGGTTGAGCAAGCCATGAAAAGCAAGCCAGTGAGCAGTGTTCCTCCATGGCTTCTGCTTCAGTTCCTGTTTCCAGGTAACTGCCTTGAGTTCCTGTCCTGACTTCCCTTTATGATGTACTACGATCAGAATGCATAAACCACATAAACCCTTTCCTCTCCAAGTTGCTTTTGGTCGTGCTGTTTTATTACAGCAGTAGAAACTCTAACTAAAGTCTACAAAAGTTTTTTTCCAAGGCACCCAGAAAGAGCCAAAGGACTTAACCTTCTTCACAATTTTCTGACTGTTGTAAAATGCCTTGGACTGCCTGACACACTACAGAAAGTAGCTTTAAATCATTGAAAAAAATGCTGGAAGTCATACCCACCTCCCAGGGTGGTTGTTAAGAGTAAACCAGTTATAAGAAGTATTCTTAGTTCATGGTAAGAGTCTTCGAACATGAGCTGACTCTCTGGGAAAAAAAGTGAATTTATCTACATGTCTTTATTCTCTTATAGAACATCTTAATGCATACTGATTGGGTATGGTATTGCATTCCATAACTGCAACTACACATTTGACAAAGTAGAGATAAATTAGGTGTGTGTGTGTATATATGTATACATATATATATATACATATACACATACATATATATGTATATATACATACATATACATATATATATATTCTATACCTCATTGCTACCAGCCTTTCCATCACAAATGTCTCTCTATGCATGATGCCTTTCTAGGCTCACAGAAATGTTTGGGAAGCTCCTGCCTCAAGGCCTTAGTACTTGCTATGCCCGGATTTCCCAGTCACATCACGGCTGAGAGTCTGCCTTTTCCCTCTAGCTCTTTGCTCAGAAGCCTTCCCTTCCAACTGTATCCTTCCTCTACCCACATGGCCTGCTGCAGTTTCCTCCATTCAATGAATTGCTGTCAGACACACTAAACACTGCACTTTGTTCACTCCATATTAGTTTTCTATGGGGAAAATAAGCCAGAAACTTCAAGGCTAAAAACAACATGAGCAGGGTTGGAGAGATGGCTCAGTAGTTAAGAGTACTTGCTGCTAGGTAACAAGGAGACCCTAAGAGGGATGCATGGATTGCCTTGGGAAGGGGAAACAGAGGAGATCTTCATGAGTAAACTGGGGATGGAGGGGAGGGGATATGGGGGATGAGAACATGAGGGAACAGGATGGCCCAGCTAGGGGAGGGACAGAGTGGGAAAGCAATGAAAGAGATATCTTGATAGAGGGGCACATTATGGGGTAAGGGATGCTAGGGAAATTCCCAAGAATCCACAAGGGTGACCCCAGATTAGACTACTAGCAATAGTGGTGAGGGTGCCTGAACTGGCCTACCCTGGTAATCAGATTGGTGAATACCCCAACTATCATCATAGAGCCTTCATCCAGTAACTAATGGAAGCAGATGCAGAGATCCACAACCAAGCACCAGGCCGAGCTCCAGGAGTCCAGCCGAAGAGAAGGAAGAGGGATTCTATGAGCAGGGGGTGGGGGTCATGATGGGAAAATCTAAAGAGACAGGCTGTAGGAACTCAAGAACTTTAGACTGACAGCTGTGGAACCTGCATGGGACCTGACTAGACCCTCCACATACGGGACAGTATGTGTAGCTTGGTCTGCTTGAGGGGCCCCTGGCCATGTAATCAGGACCTATCCCTGGTGCGTGAGCTGGCTTTTTGGAGCCCATTACCTATGGCTGGACACCTTGCACAGCCTTGATGCAGGGGGGAGGGGCTTCCTCAACCAAATGTACCAGGCTTTGCTGACTCCCTGTGGGAGGCCTTACCCTTTTGGAGGAGGGGATGGGGAGTGAGGAGAGACTGTGGCGGAGCAGGAGGAAGGATAGAGGGGGATCTGTGGTTGATATGTAAAATGAATTAAAAAAAATAAATAAAGAAAAAAGAGTACTTGCTGCTCCTCCAGAGGACCGGAATTTGGTTCCCAGCACTGTCAGTGGCTCAAAATCACCTATAACTCCAGTTTCAGCAGATCAGACCCCGCTTCTGACCTCCGCAGACCCCTCTGCATGCACACAGTGCACATAAACTCATGCAGGCACACATACATAAACATTCATAATAATTTTTTAATATATTATGATGAAGCATGGTCTAGCCAGGTTTCTCTCTCCATGTGAAGGTCAGCTGTTTAGCAAACTCAGTCTCAACTGCAAATGAATTCCCCTTTATCATGTAATATAGCCACAGGTTATAAACATATGCTATGTAATTGGGGGGCACTATTGTGTCTATAAATACCAACTTACTGTTTTCTAGCAGAAGGGATGTAAACAGGAACTTTCATCTATCTTGTTCATTGCTGTATGCCTAGACTGTTTCACTTAGTGAGCAGGTCCTTCAAAATACATATGCTGAAGTCCTAGCTCTCAAGGAGAGGTGTAGCTTTGAGGACTGAAGGAGTCATGAGGACTGGTAAGACTCTAATATCGGATTAGTGGCCGAGGAAAGAAGACCAAGTGGAAGATTATAATGAAAAATACAAAGTGGTAGAGGAGTAGAAGAGAGAACAAGAGAGTGTTTTCTCCACTAAGCAAGGATACAGCAAGATGGCAGCCATCTGCAAGCCACAAAGAGGCCTCTCACTAGACAGCAACCTTGCTGCCTTCCGGACCCCAACCTCCAAAATTGCTGTCTCGGGATGTTGTCTCTGCCACCTGGTCTATAGTATTGATATGGCAGCCCAAGGAGACCAACATAACAGCCAATAAATACTCGTTAAGTTAATCAATGAAAAGACTTGATTGTAAGCATTGCAATATCTAATCCCTACCACACACCCAAAGTATGGCAAGTATTTGCTGAGCACTTTATTGGAATATCTTCCTTAATTTTCACAAGATATCTGTACGCTAGGTACAGGTGAGTGAGTATAGGTTTTAAAACGGAGGTACCTTGCCTAAGGTCAAGATTTAGAAAACAGTATTAGAGAGTCTTGGCAGTGTGACTTCAGCAATGGCTGTAACCCTCACAATTCGCTGCTACTGTCACGGGGCAAAAGGCAGCCCTGGATCCTGTCCTAAAGGTGCTTATAATCTAATAAGAATGGCCAGAGAATACAAAAGCGGCAGTGCAAAGAAGACTATGCAGAGGGTTGGGATAGAGAAAAAAAAAAATGACCAGAACTATCTACAGCGCTTGGAGAAAGGGAACTGACCGTGGAAAGGAGTATGCAGATCTTAGGGATGGGGCAGTTGAGCTGAGCTTGGAAATGGTAGGCATGGCTGGAGTTAAGCAGAGATGGAGGAAGACAGAGAAAATTGAACTATGCTCTAAATTGTTTGGAGAGCTGGTCATGTAGCTACATAATAAGGACTGGGATCCCAAATGCTAGACTGAGGACCAAAGGAAAGTTCACAAGATTTGGGAACAGTTAGTGGGGAAAAGTCACCGGAAGCAATTGCCAAACATCGATCTGGAGCTGTAACTCAAAAAGTGAGAAGTACAGGAGAAAAACCAACTTCTTGCTGGGTAAGCATCGTCCAAAGATGTTAGCTATCATTTTCATGTTTTTTTTTTTATTTTGCATTATGGGTGTTTTGCCTGCCTGTGTGTCCCTGCACCACGTGCATACAGTGCTCCTGGAGGACACAGAAATGTATCAGTTCTCCTGGGACAGTTGGTAGCGTCCATGTGGGTGCTGAGGATTGAACCTGAGTCCCCTGGAACTGTAGCCAATATACTTTATCACTGAGCCATTGCTCCAGCCTCTACTTCATTTTAAAAGGGTAATTTTAGCCCATAATTCAGGATTTAGAGCATAATTTGATATGCCTTAGATCAGTGGTTCTCAACCTTCCTAATGCTGTGACCCTTCAATATAGTTCCTCACATTGCAGTGACCCCCAACCATAAAATTATTGTCATTGCTACTTCATAACTGTAATTTTGCTACTGTTATGAATCACAGTGTAAATATCTGATAGGATATTTGATATACGGCCCCCGTGAAAGGGTCATTTAATACCACCAAAGGGGTCTTGATCCACAGTTAAGAACTGCTGCCTTAGATGTGTAAGGTTTGAAAAGAACAACTATTGGCAGTGACAGTCAGTAACTAGCCTATTCCTGACCTTTGGGCAAATGTGTGACAAATTCTGTTCTCAACTTGATACAACCTAGAGTCACCTGGGAAGAAATCTCAATATTGTCTAGATCAGATTGGCCTGTGACCACATGTGCTGTGGGATGTTCTGTATGGCAAATGTGTTGCTAATTAGTCAATAAATGAAACACTGATTGGCCATTGGCTAGGCAGGAAGTGTAGGCGGGACAGGGAGGAGAATAAAGCTGGGAAGTGGAAGGCTGAGTCAGAGAGACACTGCCAGCCGCCACCATGACAAACAGCATGTGAAGATGCCGGTAAGCCACGAGCCATGTGGCAAGGTACAGATTAATGGAAATGGATTAATTTAAGCTGTAAGAACAGTTAACAAGAAGCCTGCCACGGCCATACAGTTTGTAACCAATACAAGTCTCTGTGTTTACTTGGTTGGGTCTGAGGGGCTGTGGGACTGGCAGGTGAGAGAGATTTGTCCTGACTGTGGGCCAGGCAGGAAAACTTAAGCTACACACATGTATAAGAAACTGTCTTGACTGATGATTGTTGAGGGAGGACACTGTCCCCTGTGGGTTACATTCCTAGGTAGGAGTGTCAGAAAGCTAGCTGAGCAGGAGGCAATGAATGAGATAGTAAACATTGTTCCTCCACAGTTTCTGCTTCAGTTCCTGCTTGAATTCCTGCCTTGACTTCCTTCCGTGATGGACTGTGGTCAGGAAGTGTGAGCTGAAATGAAACCCTTTCTTCTCCAAGTTGATTTTGGTCATGGTATTTATCACCGCAACAGAAGAAAAGCTAGAATAGCAAGCATGAGCTCTATCATTTCCTTTGCATGGAGAAAGAAACCCACTGGGATGATGAGTGACTTGTCCAACACTACACGAGTCAGACTGGAACACTGAGTCCAGCTCTTATGCCCATAATTGCGCCATGTGTCTCGACATGTGAAGAGGCCACAAATGCATTTTTATCTAAATTTACAATATGGCCAGCTTTGGGGCTGCTTCAGAGAGTCCTCACGAGGTTTGCAAGGAATGTAACTAAGGAATTTGATACAGGAAGAGGACCTGTGAATCTTAACTGAAAGCTCTTACAGGGAGAGCAGAAGGAACATGCTCACCTCACCTGAAAGACTCCAGAGAGACAAGATGGTGTGTCAACTAAGGGGTCACCTTCCAGGGTCAGAGACACAGAGTTGTGAGCTGAACCTGGCTGAATCTCAGCAAGCTGAGATTTAAATTGTGATAGTACTATAGGTGGTTGTATGGATTTGATGGAGACGCACATAACATGCTCAGCAATTGCCTGTCACCTGTTAGGTGCTCAAGAAACGCCACCAGCTCTTCTGAGCACAGTTCTCACACTTCCACATGGAGTCCCTCACAAAAGTAAGAGACTCGAACATGTGTTCCAGGCGCATTGAATCTAGACGTTTCACTGTCCCTTGGGATGCCATCTTCTGTAAGTGACAATGAAAAGAGAGCCTTTTCAAGTAGCCTGGTGCCAGTTAAATAAACTTCAGTTGCCTCATCCCAGTCAGCACAAGATAATCTCTAAGCTTTCCAACTGACACATTTTTAATGAAAGGAAATGACACACTGGTCTTCAATGGTGTTTGAGGAAAATCTGGGAAAGATTCTGTTACCAAACCACTTCCTTTCTGCATCCCCCAAAAGAACAAAAGGTATTGGGAAAGTATCACCATGACAACCTCCTAACAGCTGGATGACGGCAGAGGAAAGGTAAAGAGCATGCTTGTTTCATCACGGACTGCAATGGACCCATGGTCAAACTGCGTGAACAGCAGTTTTTATCATATATGTGTCTGCTTAGAATTTGATTACCCAGTGGTGCTGCGTTCAGCGGACATTAATTATAATTGCTCCAGGTAGTTAATAACAAACAGCAAACAAGCCTTCTCAAGAATTTTTAGCTCAAGCAGAGAGGGTTCACAAATCTAGGGGATCACCTGGCAAGTATCCAACAGCAAGGCCACACTTATGCCTTACCTTCTTCCACTCTGTGTTCAGGACCCTTGGCTAAGCACAAGGCTCAAGAGATTAATCTCCCTGTTTTATGGGAGCATCTGTGAGAACAGAATTTATGGTAATGAGCTCTGGGTCACAGAAGTCAGTGTGCATGGCTCCTCCTGAGCACTGGAGTAATGGTGGAGTAATGGTGATGCAAATGTGAGGTAATGCATGATGAGTGCATGGGTTGAAGTGGCTTAAACGGATTGATTTATATTACCTAAAGCGTATTTTCTGCCAGCACAATTGTTAACATTTAACACTGACACTAGATGCCTGTGGTAATCTTGGTCAGTGAGTGAGACTTCTGTGTCACTGTTAGCCAATAACCAAGGTAGTATCCCGCATATCCCATACTATCCCATCTCCTACTCCAGTGCCTCCCCCACCAAAGGCTACTGTTCATCCAGTCTTCTTAGTTAATGACATAGGAGTCTGGTGAAATTTTCCTTTAAAAATTCCTTCCTTTGAGAAGTTTGTTTGCCAGCCAGCCCTCTTTCATCCTACTTTCAATTTCCCCATTCCTTAGGGTATTATTGAAAGAACACACTGATGCTCACTTCCTTTACTTTCCCCACCTTACATCACAAGTGGTTCGGCTGAATTGGGTCGAGGCTTATCAATAGAGTTATTCAGCTGACCCAAGGCCTCTTGAGCAATAAAACCTAAGTGGTTGTATTAGTTCATTTGTTTATTAGTAAGACTATGGCTCTGGTTTAGTTACTAAATTTTGTTGTCAGTTTGATGCCTGGTCCATAAGAAGCACCCAATAAATGTTTGCCTGACTAGATTTAACTGGCAGATAAATTAATGTCTACCACCAGAGGCTTGATTAAATATATTTAGTATAGTTAGACAATGGAACACTGAGCAGTCACTAAAAAATATGAACAGCCATGTGTGGAGCATACACACCTGTGATAGAGGAATTACTTGAGCCCAGGAATTTGAGGCCAGCCCATGCAGCACAGTGAGACTCTGGTATGGTTTGAATCTACATGTCCCTCTTGGGCTCAAGTGTTTGAACCCTTAGTGCCCAAATGGTGGCGTTGTTTGGGGGAGGCTGTGGAACTTTTAAGACACGAGGCCTCCTTTGCAGAAATAGGTCTCTAGGGCCAGGTTATACTTGTTTTTGGGTTCTGGGCTCCTTCCTCTGCTTCCCGTTCACTGAGCTCTGGGGAGCTTTCCCAGCATTTTCTTCTCACCACAGTCACTGTGCCGTGCCTTCTCAGCCCAAAGACGCTGCTCCTCACTTAGGCTGCCAGGTATTTTGTTCATAGTGACCAAAAGTTACTAAAGACAGACCTTCTATAAAAGTAATTAATCAATCAATCAATTAAAAAACAAACAAACAGGCCGGGCAGTGGTGGCGCATGCCTTTAATCCCAGCACTCGGGAGGCAGAGCCAGGCGGATCTCTGTGAGTTCGGGGCCAGCCTGGACTCCCAAGTGAGTTCCAGGAAAGGTGCAAAGCTACACAGAGAAACTCTGTCTCGAAAAACCAAAAAACAAACAAACAAACAAACAAACAAAACCACAAAGGGCTGGAGATATGGCTCTTGCTGTTCTTCCAGAGGACCCACGTTCAGATCATAACAACACACATCATTCACATACACACACACACACACACACACACACACACACACACACACACGTAAAAACAATCTTAAAATAAAACTACAAAATACTCAAAACCAAAAAAAAAAAAGAAAGAATAAAAATCTAGTGAGCTAGTTTGTGGTTGAGGCTCTGTGCATTTTTCTGTATATACATCATACATCAACAAAGTATGTTACTAAGCAGCATGTATTGTATGATTCTAGTTTTGCTACTTAAAAATGCTACACTGTTACTATATAGATAAGGACAAGTACATACATGATATTGATAAAAAGGTTTTTTTGGGGGGGTGATAGAAATTTAGGTAATTTTATTTTATCTTTTTCTAGTATTTCTTTATTCAATTAGGGTTAGTGAGATGGTTCAGTTGGTAATGGCACTTGCCACCAAGTCTGATGGCCTGCCGATGTGGAACCCATATGGTGAAAGGAGAGAACCAACTCCCGCAGCTTGTCCTTTGACCTCCACATGTGTCTCACAGCACTAAACGGGTGTATGCACATTTTTTTGTGTGTGTATGTGTGTGTACGCACACACAGTAAATAAATAAAAATGCAATTAGAAATCTTGAAAGCTTTCAATTATACTTTTCCAGTAATTAATTTAAAAAGCTTATATGAAATCTTTTCAGTCCAAGACACCTAGTATGAGCTATCCTGATATGCTATTTCCTGTTTCTTTTCCTAAAGCACTGGTTACTTCTCCGAGGAAGGCACATGGGAAGAGGGCCACACAACCAGGCTTTGTTTGACACCAGATGAATGTGCTGAGTACTCCCATTGTTCCAAAAGAGCTCTGTTTTGAAGCTCAGTGCAGGCTACATTCAGTGCCTGGGTAGAAATCTGTGATTCCGCTGGCACTGCAGAAACTACCGTAAATAAACCCCTGCCTCCCCACATTGGTGTGGCCACAGGGGTAGGGGCTGTCTTAGTTAGGGTTTCCATTGCTCTGACAGAACACCATGGCCAAAAGCAACTTGGAGGAGCAAGAGTTTGGTTACACTTCCAGGTAACCTTCTCTCACTGAAGGAAGTCAGGCAGGAACGCATGCAAGGCAATAACCCACAGGCTGGAATTGAAGCAGAAAGTGCTGCTTACAGGTTTGCCTGCTTTCCTATAGCACCCAGAACGACCAGCCCAGCAGTAAGACTGCCAATAGTGAGCTGGGCCCTCCCACGTCATCAATCAAGAAAATGTACCTTACGCTTGGCCACAAGCCAATCTGGTAGGAGCATTTTATCAATTGAGGTTCTTGCTTCCAACATGACTCTGGCTTGTATCAAGTTGATATAAAACTAGCCATCACAGGGGCCTATCCAGGTGTCATTCTTATTAACCAGAGGCCTGTCAAGCCCTCTTCTCTCCCCACTCAAGCCCTGCCTCTTACTTTGTGTTAATGACTGGTGTTTGCCAGTAAGCCTTCCCTATAGCCTCCCTGGCAGGAACACGCTGCCCCAGACCATGCTCTGCAGTGACTTCAGACCTCCTTCCCCACTTTCAGGCACAATGTCGGTCATCATCCAGGTGAGACCAACTGAAGGAACCTTCCCTCCTAGGAATTAACACATCACCCTTCAAGTTCACCAACCAAGAGTGGTGCACACTGCTGTGGGGTGGTCTGTCTGGCAAACGTGTTGCTCTGATTGGTCAGTAAATACAACACTGATTGGCCAGTAGTCAGGCAGGAGGAAGTATAGGCGGGACAAGGAAGAAAAAAATTCTGAAAAATAGAAGGCTGGGTCGGAGACACTGCCAGCCACCGCCATGACAAACAACATGTAAAGATGCTGGTAAGCCACGAGCCACGTGGCAAGGTACAGATTTATAAAAATGGGTTAATTTAGGATATAAAAACAGTTAACAAGAAGCCTGCCACGGCCATACAGTTTGTAAATAATATAAGCGTCTGTGTGTTTATTTTACAAGTGGGCTGTCGGACTGCCAGGGTTCGACAGGACCTGGAGAAAAAACTCCAGCTGCAGCACACTAAAACTCTCTCACCGTTCTCAAACATAGGAAACCCACCACTAATATTGGAAAAGAAAAGAATAAGAAAACACAAACAGAAGGCGTTAATGACTGTGATGGTTTGAAAGAAAATGGCTCCCAAAGGGAGTGACACTATTAGGAGGTGTGGCTTTGTTGGAGGAAGTGTGTCACAGTGGGGACAGGCTTTGAGGTTTTTTTCGCTCAGGCTTCCCTCACTGCGACTTTCAGTCAACTTCCTGTTGTCTGCAAGATGTAGCACTCTCAGCTCCCAGTACCACATCTGCCAGCACGCCATCATGCTCTCTGTCATGATGATAAAGGATTGCACCTCTGAAACTATAAGCGAGCCACCCCAAATAAATGTTTTCTTATACAAGTTGCCGCGGTCATGTTGCCTCTTCACAGCAATAGAAAACTAAGACAATGACATTGTTGGCGCTTCTATATCCAGTAGCACCTGGAAACAACTGAAAGTCAAATACCCCCTTGTTTTGTTACTCTGAGTAGGATGCCTGTAACTTGCTATGGAAAGAATTCAAATACTTGTAGAGGAACCATTAAGTAAAGAGTTAGAGAGACCCTACCCCCCCCCCCCCAAACCTCAAGGCCATCTGCCTCAGCATCTATTGTAGTTCTAAAGGCTTTGTTGATAGAGGGTAGAGAACCAATGCTTATTGAGCATCTACTAGGTGTCAAGGCTTGTCCTGAGCATTATCACATACAGTCCAATCTTCCCAATGACCTTGAATAGTAGGTATTATTATCTACTTTTTGGAGTTTGGGAACTACGCTCCAGGTTTACCCTGAATTTCTTTGGTGCTGAGGCTCATGACTTTGTGTCTTCTCACATCACCAGCCCCATGACTGCTATGAGCTGGGTGGTGGTGGTGGTGGTGGTGGCAGTGGCGGGCGGCGGGGTGGCGGCAGTGCACGCCTTTAATCCCAGCACTCGGGAGGCAGAGGCAGGCGGATCTCTGTGAGTTCGAGGCCAGTCTGGGTTAAGAGTGAGATCCAGGAAAGGAGCAAAGCTACACAGGAAACCCTGTCTCGAAAAACCAAAAAAAAAAAAAAAAAAACCCAAAAAACAAAAAAAAACCCAAAACAAAAAATCTGCTATGAGTGTTCGAGGAGTAGAGCTTGGTGGAGTAAACATCTTTGGTGCTCTGTATACAGTGCTCAACACATTTCTAATTCCAGTGCATTTATGAAATGGCTGGTTTCCAAGATCTTGAGTGCACATCAGATATCATTTCACTGTCTGTTGCAAGACTGTTTCCACAGCTGCAGGAGCTTGTTCAACCCAGGAGCAAGCATAGTGGCTGCTGCAGGGAGGGAGGCTAACGCCCCCAGGGACAATCGAAAGGGAATCAGAGTCAGTAAGCAGACAAGGCATCTTTCCGTTTCCTAAAGACCGAAGAAAATTAGCTCCACTCGCATGAAGTGGCCACTTGCCAAATTCATTCGAGACAAATTTATTCAGCTCAAACCCTCGGTTTTTCCTCTATGTTCCAGTCAGCCAGATCTCCCAATTCCTAGAGTTGCTTCCCAGATAAGCAACCTACACTCTAGTCATCATTGTTCAGGTTGCTTTGATGGTAAATCCAAATAGACAGACTTAAGACTCCTGGAAATAAACAGTATCTTGTGCTCTGACTAGTCTGCTGCTGTGGGGACTATTGAGAAACAAGCCTAGTCTCTGGAGAAGAGAGACCCTGGGACAGAGGCCAGTGCAAGCTGGGGACTCTTCTAAGAAACACTCCCTACATAGAACTTCTTTGAGAAAAGACTCAGAGTGTAGACTCAACATGCCTGGAAGGAAACAGAACAGTGTTGACTGCTTTTCTCTTCTGAGTGAATCTTCAATGGAAGCTCCCCGATCCTCCTTGTTTATGCTACCCAACAGTCTTGGCCAGCCCCTCAAGGAATCTCAGTTCCTGTCACTGCAAATAAGGACTATGAGTCTCTTGAAGCTGGCTAGAAGACGATTAGCTATCATTCTCCACCTGGAAGGAAGTATAGCATGTTAGGTTGTGGTGTGGCCAGTGCAATTGTGATGGTTGGTCTTGAAAGTCAACTCAACTGTTCAAGAGGCTGGTACCAGTGAACTGCTTCTCTGTGTGTCTGTGGGGATATTTCCAGGGAGGGTTGCTATTTAGGAATGCACCGTGGGGGAAGAGAGGGAAGATCTGCATGCATGTGGATGGCACCTTCCAAGGGGCTGGAAGAAGTTGGAGGAAGGTGGCTTGCAGTGAATTGCAAGCGTGATCCTTTTCTGAGTCACAGTGTGTATGCGGCTGATATCATCTGCCACCGTAACACTCAGGCTTCTTTGGAGTGTGATGGGCCAATACCAGCAATTCTCCAGAGAGCTTCCAGGCTGTCAGCACTGGCCTTGTATGGTTGAAGTGACCAGCAGTCTCTGGTTCTCCAGCTTTTGCTGTTTGGAATTATTGGATTACCCAGCCCTTATTAGGTAAGCCAAATCAGTAACTCCCCCTTTATAATATATATTCTATCGATTCTGTTCCTCTGGAGAACCCAGTCTAATACAATGGAGGAACATTTTCTAATCAGCTGGGGACTTTGTTTGCTAGTCAATTTTTGTAATAGGAACAAACACCCCCTTATGATGGCTGATTTTATGTATCAGCTTGACCGAGGTAAGGGTTGCTCAGATAGCTGGTTAAACATGAACTCTGGATGTGTCTGTGAGGATATTTCAGGACTGATGAGCACTTGAATCAGTCTCTGATCCAAATTCCCCCTCACCAATGTGTGAATGCATCATATTGGAGAGATGAAAAGAGAAACTTGCTATCTCTTCTGCTGCAGGGATATCCCAACTTCCCCGTCCTGTACATCAGAGCACTGGGTTCCTAGGCACATGGATTGTAGGATTTATACTGACTGCATCTCCATCCCTAGCAAACACACACCCATCAGCAGCCATTAGGCTGAAATACATCATGGTCTTCCCTTTAGCTTGAAAATGGCAGGCTGAATTACTCAGCCCCTGGAAACATGTGTCTCAATTTCCATAATTTCCACAATGAATCTGTCTTTAAAGGTATCTAAATATTATGTCTTACTGGCTCTGCTTCTGTGTAGAGCCATGACTATAGCTCTCCGAACTCCCCAACTCAGTGGCATAAAAGTGCAAACTCTGTGACATGCACATCTTAGTATCTTGATGGGAACGGGAATAGGGCTCTGCCCCAGGAGCTCCTATACAGGGCTTAGTCTGTCATGGTCACCATGGAAGAGTAAGAAAGAGGCAGTGCTTATATTCTCCAGCTGGCTCTGGATGCCTCCTCACCCCCCAACAAAAAGTGATATTTGTTGTTCATGTTACACTGGCCACAAAGAGTCATGTCATGATGAGTTCTACTGTAAGGGGATGTGCAATCCAACTTCCAGGTTGAGAAAAGGAGAAAAGCTGAGTGTCTTAGTCAATGTTCTATTGCTGTGGAGAGACACCATGGCCACAGTAACTCTTATGAAGGAAAACATTTAATTAGCGCTTGCTTACAGTTTCAGGGGTTTATTCCATTATTCTGAGGCACATAGGTAGACACGGTACTGGAA